AATGGCGTCTCTATGACATAATGAAAGGTTGCAAGAAAAAGGGGGATTTAAAGAAAAGTGCATAAGGTACAATTAAAAAAAAAAAAGCCAAACCTGATAATCAAGGCGAAAAATGCAAATGAACTGTATGCCCTTTAAAAAAAAAAAAGGATTTTCGATTTGGGTCAAAAGCCTCAAATCCAAACTATGTTGCCGATTTGAGACACACCATTTAATTAAAGGAACTCGAAAGTTTCAAAGCCAAGCCAAGGCACAGAAAAGAGAGCCTCCATTTCATGCACTTAACTTTCAGGCAGCCACACGACCATGCACAGAGACCTCCCACGCCATGGGGTTGCACCGCAGCTGACCGCCAGCAAGCAAGCCCTGTCGCCGACACACCCCGGCCTTGCACACACAGCAATCTGTTAAATTTGCTGAACAACTATTTGAATGCTTAAATGGAAAGGCTTTCCAAGGGGGTGCGGGCCTACATGGCACTGAAAGAGGGCCCCCACGACCCAGGACTCAGGGTCACTTCCCCTCGCCAGCCGGAGCAGTTCTGATTTCATCTATTCACTTACTGGGCTTCTGGGTAACATTTGGCCTGAATAATGGGTTTAGCGGCATTTGAAAGCCAGTATTTAATTACATTGTGCTCTTATTGGTTTATAAGTAAGTGGAAAATGGAAAAATAAAATTTCTGCTATCACTAATAAGAGCATAGGTTTCACATATACTTAAGAAATTCAGATAAGTATGGAAATCATTTGGCACACCCACATCAGCCCCTCTCTAGCTCCGATAATTGTATTTAAGGCAGTCAACTGTGTGTTTGGAAAAAAAATAAACTAAAGAACATCCATAGAATGTTAGAAATTGCCTTGAAAAAGTGCAGAATTCCTTGGAACATGCAATTCTCCAAACCAACTTTTAAAACCACTTTGCCCTCAATACAGGCTTTCAGAAACAAGCATGGGAGGAAATAGGGTCACCTAAGGTAGGAAGACAAGTCAAAAGCAAATAGATATGCTTCTGCAGGTTGGAGTCATTGAACAGGTCAGTCAAAACCACCCCTCAGAGGTGGACTGTACATAACAGCGATACAGCAGTCACAAACACCGCATTAGGGATAATCAACATCCCCAAATGAGAAAAAATAACAGAAACACAGTTCCAGAATTCTCTCATCACTGAAAACATCAAATAGGCAAAAAATAAATAGTAAACATACTTCAAATCTAGAGGTAACATCATTCTTAACAGAAAATGAGAAATAAAAGACATGATGCTCACTTCATCAATCTTAGATTACACTGCAAAAGTTCTGACAAATGTAATAAATCAAGAACAACAACAAAAAAAAAGAAAAAAGAAAAAAACCCATAAGTGCTGTAAACTACTAGAATGAGATTAAAATTATGGTTATTTATATATTTCATAATTTTTTACTAAAAATATCCAAAAGGACCAAAGGAAAAGCTAATAAAAAATAAATATCTTTACATCAGAACCTATGCCCTATTAACAAGTAGCATATCTTACTTTCAAGGCTCATGAAACATTTACAAAATTAGTTGTCGTATGCATAAAAGATACATTGATCAATTCCCCAAAGTAGAATTTATATGTCCACATTCTCTAACCACTATAAAAAATAACCACATTTAAATAAAAGGCATAATCAACAATACACAACACAAATAAGTTAATTTAAAAGTGAGGTCTAGCTTTTCACATTTAATTCAGATAATCATGTCTTCTAAGAACAGGGAATGAAAATCATAAATATTTAAAAATTCTAAAAAGGCTACATATAAAACATAAGAAGTGTAGTTAAAATTGTAATTAGAAGCAAATTTATAACATACCTGTTTTCACTATTAAGGAAGAATAACAATAGGGCATATATGAACAAAACCATAAACCAAGCTTAAGGAAAGTAGTAGGAAGAACTCAATAAAGATAAAGGCAGATAGCACTGAATTTGAACATATTCACAGACACACAGACACACACACACACACACACACACACACACACACACACACACTGAATTAATAAATTATTCCAGAACTGATTCTTTGAAATATCTCTAAAATAGACATTCCTCTAGCTCATCATATAAGAGAGAGAATGTGAATATACAAGACAAAAATTCTATTACAAAAGAATATTATTTATAACTTTGTTAATAAAATCTTAAATTAACAAAGATAATTTTCTAAGATTAATTACATTTAAAAACAATTGCTGAGCACTAATGATGTGCCATACACCATGCAAGGTACTTTATCTCTTAATCTTCACAGTGGTCCTCTTAGGTTCTCATTTTAGCCATTTAGCAATTAAGGAAACTAAGAATTGGGAGCAGGTTGCGGGGGGTGGAATCACAGTTTTCCCAGCTTCATATAGGAAAGAACTGAACTCAATTTATCTCATTTCAGTGCCTACAGGTTTAAACACTGAGCTATATTAGAAAAAGAAGCAAAAGTCCTAAAGATGCAGAAAATCTGAAGAATCCAATAAATACAAAAGCAACAGGAAACATTATGAAAGAGATACCCTGGAGTTACGTAGATGAGTTCTTTAAAGTTTTCAAGAAAAAAGATCACTCAAATGATGCAATATGGTACAGAATGAAGAAAAAAAATGGAATGTTCTCATTGATTTTATAAAGCCAGCATCACCAACACCAAAATCAATCAACAAATAGATTTAGAAAATCCTACACCCAATACTAGCAAAGCAAATCTTATTAAAAGAATGATATACCAAATTAAATAGAATTTGATCCAAAAATGTTTCAAAGTTATGAAACATTACAATTAATTGTATCAACAGATCAACACAAACAACCCAAATATGTGTTAGATATCAAAAGTGTATTTCATAAAATTCTAAATCAATTCCTGATTTTAAAGACATCAATGAGCTAGGAATACTTATCTAGACTGAAAAAATGCTTAATAATCAAACTTAATAATGAACTAGAAATAAGACAAGATTTCTGTTATCACCAGTTTAGTGTTTTAGAAGTTCTAACCAATGCTATAAGGTAGGAAAGAGAAATTGACTAGATAAAATGAAAATTTGCATTATGTAGATATGAATGACTTTTAACCTAGAAATTCCAAAATACTTAGCTAAGAGCTTGTAGAATAAATAAAATAATTCAGTGAAACAGATAGTAACTAAACATTTCCCTACATACCAGTTGCAACCAGTTAGAAAATATGAGGAAAGATGGATCAAATTTACAATATAAATATCATTTCATTCCTTAAAATAAACTTAATGACAAGTTGTGAATTTGTCAAATTTGACAGATCAGTTATATATAAATGTAAAACTGTAAAATAGTGCAAAGCCCAAGTATCAAAAATGTCAGTTTCTTTTTAATTACTTTTTCACTGAAAATCTAAAATTCTTTTGAAAGAATAAATAAATGACATTCCCCAAGACAATCTTTAAAAATAAGAAGAAAGGAAGACCATTGCCACGGAATAATAATACATTATGATATAATACAATAAGATGGCAATACGAGCCTAAAAATTAGCAAGCCAACAGAATAACCAAAAGCCAGAATAAGAACCAAAACTATACAAGTGTCTACCTCGTGGCACAAATGGAAATGGGATAGATAGCTTATTCTCACAATAATTAAATTGATGGTTGAGGATTCAAATATAAAAAAAATGAAAGAAGTAGAAAGAAATAAAATTGACTGTTCATATGAGTTCCATTTGGTCCTTATCAGAAAGTGAAATGCAAACAAAGAAACTATAAGGAAAAATAAGCGATAGATTTTAAGATGCCAATATGAAAATAAATTCATTAATAATTGAATTAAAAATAATTAAAATCTCCACAAACAAAATTGAAGAGCAAATGAAAATGGGGGAGAAAAGGGGACAACAGTAACTTCTGTTCCTGGAAGGTATCCCGCATGGAAGTGTTGGAGCAGATCATGGTATGCACCTGAATACATCCCCATGAGCCCACTGAGTGTAATTGTAATGCACTAATTAAAACAAACAAATTGTAAAAATATAAACACACCAATAAAGAAGGAACCCAATTTCCAGTGCAGCTGGTGGACTGCAGGCGATGTTGGCCTGGCCTCATTTCATAAAAAATGGCCTGGAAAAATGGATGAACACAGATTCACATTGAGACACAAATGTGAAAACTTGAAATGATGGGAGACAAGAAAATCCTACACATTCAGAAAGGCTGAGGAATCATAAAGGCTTTGGCCCCCTCTCAATACCCCTAGAAGCTAGAAGACCATAATTTATGATTTCAAGATCTGCGAAGGAATATCAAAAAGGATTCCAACTTAGAATTTTATACCCAGCCAAATTATGAATGTCAGTGTGGACACTTTCTATTCATATGTGAAAGGTCTCTAAAAAATACCTCCCATGAACTTTTCTCCAGAAACTGCAAGGGGGTACACTCTAGTAAAACAAAGACGTCACCCCGAGGAGAATGATAACGTGGGATCTACGAAATCAGGGATCCAACCAAGGAGAGAGGATCAAGGGACTCCCCAAGACGGTGCCAGGGTACCTCACCATCCACTGACCCATAGCACAACAGGCAAGAAGGACGCAGGAAGACATTTCTTCAAAAAGATTTTTTCCACATATTTAAGTTGGATAAAAAAAATGCTATTGAATATATGAATAGGCTTATAATAAACCTGAGGTCTATTCAGGAAAAAAAAAACAAAACCCTCCCCCCAAAAACCCAACACATCAAAGAGAAAAGAACACATGCACACCTACATACAGGGTGAGTATTAACTCCAGGGGGAAAAAATCGTGAAGAAGAAAATACTCACATTGCTACTTCATTCAGCCTTCAAGAGTGTTTACATTCTTACAACAATGTAAACTCTTAATATTGATCAAACCATAAATATATGGAGAGGTTGATACCCAGAGGAAGGCACTGGGGTGAAGCCAAGGGCATATGCAAAGTCGTCAAAGTCTTGTTTTCTGAGAAAAGTCAAGACAATGCCTGAGCTTTTTTTTTTTTTTTTAAGTCAAGACAAATGGCTAAGCTTTTAAGAAAAATAAGAAAAGAAAATCATGAAGTAGAAAAATAAGAATATTACTTAGAATTATGGATGTAAATGTCAAAAGAATCAGCCAGGGAATTGTAAGCTGCCGCTACAGTGCGGAAAACCTGGGTGGAGCCGGGAAGGTGGGAGGGCGGATGCTCCTGTGACAATGGCACAGAACTATCTGACTCTTAAAACGAGGCGTATGCATAACTTTGACAAAAGTAAAAACTAAGTGAGAAACTGAGAAGGGCAAAGCCTGAGCTGGCAATTCAGATACAAATAAGCAAAGAAGAAGCAGGGAGTTCTTCAGACACAGGTGCAAAAGGAGCTCAGACCGAGAAACAGAAGTCCCACATCAGACCTGCAAAGGCACAGACTTTGGCAATCCCCAGAGAAATGGATGCTGCTCAAGCTGACTCCAGAACACACGTGGCCATGAAGTTAGGGTGGGGGCAGATTGGCCACAAGGCACTCGCGCTGCTGGGCTTTCAGAATGAACTGCGGGGAATGAACCAGAGATATGAGGGTGAACACAGAAGCCCACCTTGAACTGCAGAATTTGGATTTTAAGTGCATCCTAATGCCAACAAAAGCAAACCCACGAAGCTGACTGTGATACAGTCGGTAGCTAGAAGACTCTGTCACCATTAAGGAACACAGAACAGGAAACCACTTAATAGTATAGTTTGGTAAAGATACAGGATAACAGTGAAGAGTTCAATCACACACACACACACACACACACACACACACACACACACACACACACACTCCTAATTTTCAGAAGTAAACAAGAAAACAGAGGCTGGTCACCAAATGTGGGCAGTGGTTGTCTTTGAGTAGTGGGACCAAGAAGATTCTCTCGTATTTTTTTGGTAATAAGAAAAAAAACATATTATTTAAAATTATTATTGTATGTGACCTTAATTGCTCTAGGGTCTTTGATGAGAAAAACTCAATGCTCCTGTGTTTTGCGTTCTCTGTGACGTAATCAGCTAACAGAGTGCAATTGTCTGCATAATTAGAGACTCAGGCACAGGTGGGAAGGTAACCTTGAGCCCCAACTCAAGCTGTTTGAAAGGACACTGCAAGGATGCAGAGCCTCCACCCCTTGGAGGGACCAGAGACGAGGGACTTCTCTGGCCAGCCCTGGCCTCTACTTGGAGAAGCAGCTGCCAGAAATGGCCCAGCCTCTGCACACTAAGGCTCCGGGAGAGGCGCATGGATCGTGGCCCCTCTCGGAGGCATTCACACACACCCTGGCCCTGCGTAAAGCTCATCTATGACCACTGCAGTCTCCACATGTCCTCGACTGGCCCTTGCCACAGGCACACAGCATGCAGAGAAGAGTCAGGAAAAGCACAGCTCACCCTGCAGAGGTGCTACTACACCCAGGGCCGTCATCCTCTGGGAAGCCAGCGGCTCGCAGCCACATCTCCAGGGGCTCCATGCTGGAGGACCTTCCAAGGCAAGAAGGAAAGTCAAGACCCAACCTGTTCAAGCAGGCAGCCGTGGGGTCAGGGGAACTTGCAAAGGTTCACTGGTGGGGCCCGGGGAGTGGACCCAGCCAGCACCTGCCCTCTGGGGACTCTTATCAAACATGAGGTACAAGTGTCACCTGAGTGGGTGGAGCTGAGGGATCTTAGAGTGAGCAGTGATGGGGGGTGTGGACTGGGGAGTGGTAAGAACCTCAGGGAGGCAGGAGCAAAGGGGACAGCAGCGAGGAGGAGTAGGAGGGGGCGGGGCGGGCAGCAGGCTCCCTGGGGGGCAGACACAGGAGGCAGCAGGAGGAAAGAGCTGCTGTCAAGGTGTCAGCTGAGGGGAAGCAAGGAGGGATGAAGAGAGGCTCGGTGGACTTGGACGGCCCTGGAGGGCCCAGGAGAGGAAGGAGGGGTGGGGGACGGCTTGGGTTTGGCTGAGTAGACCACTGCACTCGTGATCGGTGCAGTGGAGGGATGCTTTCATTATGACCACTACCCCTGCTACTGCCCATGAACTCAAAGGCACCTAGGACTGAACCCACTGGTCTTCTCCAGGACACCCATCAGCTTGGTCTGCAAGTGCCTCTTCTGTCACCTTCTTTTGCCCTTCTAAGGATTCTGAGCACAACTGTGAGGACGCCCACTGTGACTTACATCCACAGGGCCTGCTCCCTGGGTCGGTCGGCACTCCCCCAGGCTCCGAGGTACCCCCAGGCGGTGCTCCCGTCCTGGGCTGGGCAGCGGTCCTTTGGTGTAGCCACTCTCATTTGGATCAGGGTCGTCTGTCACTGAGCTCAGCCCAGCGCTCTCCTTGCTGTGGAGGAAAGAGGCTGCCATCAGTGACCAGTGCTCACCCCTCTGGGCTCTCCCAGAGGTCACAGGAGCAGGTGTCTGGGGACAAGTAGGCACCAAAGGCAAGGTTCTTAGGTGGGATATGCCCGGACAGGCCGAGGGAAGCCCCTGCATCACTCCAGGGAAAGAGGAGGGGTCCTGCCAGGCAGGGACCTGACCAGAACACTGCAGCTGCTGCGTCCTGTGCCTGCAGGACCCTGCGCTGGGGCCACTGTCAGCAGGAGGGAGCTTTCCAGCTTTGCTGCGGGGCCTTAGGAAAGGTCACCACATGGCAGAGCTGGCCCGGAGCGTCTGTTAAGCTCTCGTCCTGATGAGCGAACCATGAACACATGCCGCGGTCTATCGAGCTAAAACTTGTCCAGAGACAGGCCCCGGCCCAGGACAGAGGCACCAGGCCCCTGGTGCTCCAAACTCCCTACCCAGGCATCCCAGGCAAGGTGATGGGCACAAGGCACAGCTGAGGGGACATGGGACATCCCCTGGACATGGAGGCATGGCTGGGTTCCCTAGGCTCACTTCACCCTGGGGTCCTTCTCTGGAAGCAGGGTTGTGAGGGGGCAAACATGGCCACACCCATCCACTCAGCCAGCTGCAGGGAAGTTGTAGGAGAGGTGGCTCCCTGTGAGCAGGCCAGGGTGGGCACTAGGGATGAGGAACAGCCAAGTGGGGAGACTGTGGCAGGAACGTGTGGCCACACCTGCTCTTGTGCTCTCTAGGTGGCTACCCACAGCCCTTGCTACTTGGGAGCTGGCCAGGGTCATCAGCCACAGATGACATCAGGAACATCAGCTGGGGAAGGGTGTGGCCCTGCCAAGGGAGCAAGCTGCCTTTATTTTATCATGTGGCAAAAAGGCAAGCTGGTCGGAGAAGCCCTGGGCCCTGGGGGAAATCCGAGATGCTCCAAAATGGCGACTGAGGATGGGGGAGGACCTGGAGGGCCAAGGAGCAGGAAGGTGGGACAAGAGTCCAGCGGAGAGAGGCTGAGACGGCGAGGGAAGGGTTCCTGTCATCATCCCTTGTACCTTTATAGACGGGGACTCTGAGGCTAGACTGAGAAGTCGGGACTCAAATGAAGGGAAGAAGAAAATCTCTCCCCTCATCAAAGTCATGGAGGACAAATGGGGCCTTTGAGGGTAGAAGGTGTCAGGGACAGAGACTCCACATCACACAGGAGCAAACCCTGTCTTCTACCTGCCTAGTGGCCCTGGCAGCTGGGGCATGCACCCCGGGGGCAGGAGCCCCACACAGGCCTCACTGTGGAGGGAAGCCCACAGCATATGGAGACTTACGGAGTAAGAATGAAATGGACTTCCTTTGCAGCTGAGCCTTCTGACCACATGTCCCCGGACACCCACTATCTGCCCTGGGAAAGCAAAGAGAATAGGAGACAGGGCGGTGTCCACTCACTAAAGTCAGTGGGACCGCCTGTCTTAAGGGTACGAATGCTGAAAGCTGGGCCAGGGACGTCTCACCTGTGCACCCCTCCGGGCCGCTCACTCTTCTGTGGCCCCCAGCTGCAGCCTCAGCTGCTCTGTAGCAGGTGGCCCCTGCAAAGCCAGGACACCTGCAGGAGCAGAGCACACTGAGTCAGCACTGCTGGGCCTGATGGGACCTGGGGCATGGCACTGCCATCCGCAGGCCTCAGTGTTCTGTCTGTAGAAGGAGGAACTGGTGTCCCCTCCTAGAGACAGCACCAGGACTAAAGGGAGAAGCCTGGGCTCCACCTGGTGCACATCACACTTCATCTCATGGTGTCTTTCTTCCTATCTCTGTCAAGGCCACCAGGGTCTCGTGCTCAGTACCACCCAGTGCTGTTCCTGGGGGCACGGCAGGCCTGAGCACCCTCTCCTCTCCTGGAACAAAGTCCCATCTGCTGTCACTTACTCCCCCAACCCCCACTGGCTTGAGGAGGACTTGTGGCTTTGGCCAAAAGTCTGAAAGGGGAGCAAATGAGGGCCTGAGCGCACTCCAGTTCCATCAGACAGCAAAACCGAAGCTGGAACTCTGCCCCGCGGAGGGCTGCTCCCCAGTCACGGCTGGGGTTTGCCTTGGCTCCCCCATCCCTTCTCAAGAGGAGGCCCCAGGGACCCCACCAGCCAGACTCAGCCCTGGCTGGGGTCCACAGAGTTTCAAATTTTGAAAGAGGTCTTTTGCAAAATGTCAGGTTTCCAGCCCGAGTCCGATTGCCTACATCCTGTCCAGACCCCTGGGAGCGAGATTTACTTAAGAAGGGAACAAAATCCCCATGTTCATGCCACTGAGTGGAAACATGCCCCATCCCGGGTGATTCCCAGGGTTACGGTTACACGTCTCTTAATGAGTCACAGACGGAAGGCGAAGTGGAGCTGGTGGAAGGAGGGGACAGGCCTTGCCATGAGGAAGTGCGGTTGCCCCCCCTGCTAGGCTCTCAGGCCCCTGCCAGGGATGTCACTTGTCCCCAGGGAGGCTTTGCGCCATTCCTAGGTGCACTCGCTCTCCTTCTCCCCAACACTCACCTCTGTCCACCCCTCACTCCCAGGTTCTGCCCTGCAGTTGGGGCTCAGGGCACCCTGAGCCAGGGAGCCAAGGGCACGACTCCACCTTGGGGAGGGAGAGGCAAGGTCCCAGCACTGCGAGACGGGGGGAGAGGAGCTCTGCGGGGACCCCCGAGGCCAGAGGGTGGAGTGGGGAGAGGCTGGAGCCCTGGCCATGAAGAGCCTCGGGATGAGGCCCAGGAGCTGGGCTTGCTCCGGGGGCCTGGGGGAGCTGGGAGAGGGCTCTAGGGAGCACGGGGCCCTGGGGTGTGCGTTCCAGGAGGCCAACTCAAAGGGTGACAGCCACCCAAGACAAGCTTGACCTGGCACAGTGGTGGCAGAGGTGGCAGAGAAGCAGATGAGAAGAATGGCCCACGGGCTCCCAGGAGATGCTCGAGGGGTGGAGGGGTGCTTCGGTGGACACTAAACAGTGGAGGCAGAATTGGGGGACACCAGGGAGGATGCAGCCGGAGGCTGGAGGCCACTGAGATGCCATTAGCAACCAAGTTCCTTCTCGGCAACACTCGGAGAAGCTCAGAATGAAAAGGAAATGTCAACTCCTAGTCCCTTCTACCCCAGTGGGTCACCTAGGAAGGCATCTAAGAGAAGCACTTGAAGGTCCACCAGAGACCAGAGAAGCCCAAACACTCAGCAGAGACTTCACTAATACGCAGGATGCTGCAGTGAAGGGCAGTGCGCGCTCCGCAGCTGCCAGGGCCATGACCAACAGGAACCCCCAAATCCACCCCGTGTGTCTCCTCCACAGTGGGCAAAGAGCCCACTTACCTGACCCCAAGGAACCAAAGCCCCCAGCAGGCACCAACCAAGGCTATAACCTTGTCCTTTCAATTCTTCCTCAAAACTAGGTAGAGAGAAGCAGAGGGGACGTGTGCAGGTCAAGGCCGGCCCGGTTGGCCACACTAAGCACGCCCCCAGCAGCCTGGCCTCTCAGCACTTATCACAAGTGTAACTGAATAATCTTGCCCTGAATATTTACTTGAAATCTAATTCCCACCCAAGACTTGGAGCTCTGCAAAGGCCTAGGTGGCATCTGTCTTATTTCTTGCTATTTTTGCACAGACTCTGGCAAAGAAAAGACCCAATATTTTTTGAATCCACGAAGGAATGCATGAATGGTTAATTCATCAAACACTGCCTGATGCCTAGACCCTCTCTTAGGCTCTAAGGATGCAGAAAGATCCTGTTCTCAAGAAGCACATAGCTCTTTGGGAAGAATTGGCAGCTCATAACTAATAATGTCCACCGGCTCCACTAGGGATATGGAGAGGGATGGATGAGGAAGAGAGGAGGGACTTCGTAAAGGGACACTGGAGTTAGGAGAGGGCAAGACACTGTGGATGTTCCAGAGGGAGTGACTTTGTCAGCGCAGAGCAAGGCTGAGCAGGAAGGAGCAGAAATCTAGAATTGACTCAAAGTCGTCAAATACTGGGAGGCCGGCAGGCTTCATTTATCCGGGGAATTCTGGGGAGTGGTGGGAACCTAACTCAGGCTCTCTAAACCTGCACACGTTGACCAAGCGAATCCCAGATCCAGCCCCAAAGCCTCAGGGCTGATGTGGCAGCCCAACCTCAGCATTGAGAGAACCCTCCTGCCACAAATAGGCCTGATCTTGTCTCATGGGGAGCTAAAGTCCACCAAATGGAAAATAGCCAGACCGGAAGAGTCCGTCCGTCTCAGATGTCCAAAATCAGGAAGGGGACTCCACCCGGTTTGGTCTGAAGCAGGAAAGCCAATGGTTCAAGTCCAAATCAAACCCTCACAAAGGAGTAGGCTGATCCCACACTGGACACCGAGCACTGACCACCAAGTCCCGAGGAGAAGTGTCAGACTAGGTGGAGTCCAGGGCAGGAGCTCCCAGCAGGGGAGGAAGAGGAATGGTCAGTGTGAGGCACGTGGTGGTACTACTGGACATGGAAGGGACAAAGGAAGGAAGGGGGATGAGAAGTGGGTCTTGGGCATGAGCTCACCTCCATCTGTCCGCTCCCTGGTAGAAGGACGTGTTTCGTGGCCTTAGCGGTTCGTGGACGAGCCTGGCCTGGCCTGCCCCAACTGACATTCTTCCTAGAGCTCTTTGAACTCTCCCGTCTCCTGGAACAGGAAAAGGTAGGTGTCATATCTGTCTGGGAGCTTTTTAAATCAGCACAGCTGACATCACCAAGGATGATGACAGGAGTGCAGAACAAGAGTGGCATGTGACACTTCCAAGGCATCCTTTTCCTCCCAGGTACCATGATATGTACCTGACACATATTATGACATTCAAGGACCCTTATAAGAAGCTCTTGTTAAAAACCACAAGCCAGTCACGTTGGCACCACTGCCCCTCCCACAGACGAAGCCGAGGTCAAGAGGGGCCTTGCGTTTAGCCTACCGTCGGAAACAAGAAAGAATCTGGTTGGCTTGGAAGGGCCAGGAGTGGGCCCACTCTCAGCAGGCATAAAAACAAGACTGGGTTATTTTCAATCTCCTGTCTTGGCAGAGACAAGGGCGGCTTTCGGGAAGACCCAGGGCTTCCAATCCACCATGCCAAGCCAGTGTTGCCCAAGGATGGGCCAACGGCCAGAGCAGTCAGAACTGCCAGTATTCTGGCGCACTGTCTGGCACAGGAAGCTGGACTCCAGGGGGAATCTAGACTCGAAGGGAAGGGTGCCACAGAGTCTCTGACACCCAACACGCTTCTCCCAAGAGCAGCACCCAGGCCATGCTGGTTCCACAAAAGCACGTGTATTTTTAGTTCCTTGCTCATTCATTCAGCAGTAATTTACTGGGCGCCTACCAGGCTCTGGGCTGGGCAGCCTCTGGGGATACAGAAAGAATTTGACCCAGTTCCCGGCCCTCAAGGCACTTCTGTTTAGTGATGACATGTAAAGTGACACCCATGACAGAGGAGAAGGGTGCTCCTCCCCCACGTTCCTGCTGCGGCTGGGCTTGGCTGTGCCTTGCAGTCCTGTGGGGAGGCAGGAGCAGTGAGGTCATGCATCTGCCCTCCAAGGGCAGCTGGCTCGGTCACTACTCATTCATTCATTCTCAGAGCGGCTGACTGGGCCCCTGATTCCACCCTGACTCACCTACTCTCTGATCCCCTCTTGTATTCATTAGCGACTGTATCTTCACCCATCCATCCATTGGTCTCTTCAGGTGCTGATTTATCATTTCATTCTTTGACTCAGCTAATATGTTCCATATTTTTCTCTTCCACTGGCTTTTCATTCACTCTCTCACCCTTGACTGATTGATGGATTCGCCCACCTGGATGCTCCACCTCACCCGCTCCTTGCCTGATTTGCCCTCGGGCATGCTGGGTCATCTACTCCCTCCATACTGGCTCACTTCTATTTACCCATCAGCTGGTGAAGCCTCGGGGCTCAGCCTTGTGGGCTGCCCACGCTGCTGAGCACTGGTTTTCCATCTGGACCCACGGACCTGCTCATCTTGCACTCTTCCCTCAGCATCCCACTTAACGTGGGCTTGCTCGCTCAGGCACCCTCACCCACATACCACGCAGACATTCCCTTCTGGCATTAGTCCCCAGCTCACTGGGGCTGCTGCGCTCATCTGCATAATCCTTCCCACTTTCATTGCATCATTGATTGATTCCACTGAGTTTCAAGGACTCATCAGGCAAAAGTCCTCCTCATTTATCTGTTACCTGCCCCTTTCTCAACAAGCTCCTGCAGCATGGGAGGTGAGGCAGGAAAGCAGAGCCAGGGCAGAGGGCCCGGTCGGTCACAGCACTCTCAGATACCAGCTGCCCCGTGGGGATCTAGGGGGTATCAGGGCCTCCTACCAACACCTGCAAACAAACGAGTCCCTAAAATATGTGCCTGAGACAGACAAAGATAACGCATGTAGACACCAAGAAAATATCCAAGGTATCTCAGGAGTACATGCAGAGTGGGACAATCTACTACATGCTCTTGAAACAGAGATGTAAAAGACTGAACCTTTCTTTCACGGATGTGGGAGGTACAGAGCCACAATAATTGTAATTCTTGTTGCAAAACACATCTTAATCACCAGTCCTATTTGATTGCTTCTAATTTACTTTTTCCAAGGCTGATTTAATAAATAATATTAATGACAATGATAATTCTGTGAACCCAACAGAATATGAGAAAAAAAAACACAAATATTTTGACACATGCTTCTTATTTCCATTACACAGAGATAATGGATTAAGTCTTTCTGGTTAAATGGATTTCAGAGAAGTAATATTGAGTTGATCATAACGTTTTTTTTTTTTCATAAAATATTTTATCATTGGGATAATCCTGGTCATTTCAATTTTCTGTATACATGAATTTTCCTGGTTATTAATTTAGTCAGTTACCCATTTTAGGAAATAAGTTCAAAACAAAGAATCTACAGCCAATAAGAGGGAAAAGTGACTGACTGAAGTCTTTGCATGGACTCCTTAAAGACAGTAGAACAGTTGACCCCTGCTGAACAAACCTTGTTTCATGACACAGTCACCGAAGTGGACACTGTATTTGCTAGCATTTTGACTTGTTTGGCTATTTGTTACTTTTAGTAGAACAACAAAACCCAATTCAACCAAGAACAAGATCTTTGGCTAAGTCTAGAACCTATTAAATAGGTCATCTACACCTATTTCTCATGGGTCTCTGTTTAGCAAAGTGAACTGATCTCGCTTTGGTTAGAACACGCTCTCTCCAAGGGCTCAGGCATGGTCTGCTCTCACTCTGTGACTGCATGAAGTCACTTATTCTTTTAAAAGAATAAACAGTGATAGACTATAATAAAAAGATGAAGTAAAATAAAAACCTATGACTTACCCCCATCTATATTGTCCTTTGTCACATAGGTGACACACGTGATTCTTAAATCACGAGTAAGACAGCTGAGGTCTATCCACCTGTGTGCACACAAATCAGATACAAAAGGGAATGAAATTCCCTTGTCACTGGTTCGAACCTCCCCCTCATGGAGTTAACCATTTATTTATTATTTTTTTGTTTCATTTTAACCTTTTTTTTTCACAATAAATCAAAGACCCAGGAACCCTCAGCCAACTAAGAGCAGAACATCAATGACTGAACATCTCCATCTAGATGCTTCTTATAAGAAGGGGCAACCACCATGTCGACCTGTTTTCCCCCTTTTAAAGGACTATGGTATTTCAGAACTGAATTAATAATATCCTTTGCTTTATAATATATCCTCAAAATTGGCTCATGTTTTGGCCTCTTTTTCTTTCCTCATGAAAAGGTTTGCTTATTGATCCATTCATTTATTCACTAATGATATAGAAATGATATCAATGCACCCTCACGAACTCCAAGCGGAGGGCTGGGGATGTGGCTCAGTGGTAGAGCACTTGCCTGGCCTGTGTGAGGCCCTGGGTTCCAGCCCCCACGCCACAAAACAACAACAAAAACTCCATGAGATTCTTGGACTTTCCTGAAATCATTCCCAAGGCCATCCCCAAATTCTTTTTTGGCAATGGATATTAGTTGCTCAAAAAAGTGTTCCATCATGATTTTTTATTCACATCACTGAGCCAGATGATGCCCTGCTGCACCGAAGGTGAACAACACATCCATGTTGTCCTACCTGACGACCACCCCCCGACGTCCCGAGAGAGAAACAGCCAGCTCTTATCACGAAGGGGATGTTTAAATAATAAGATATTTAAAATTTTGGAAAATTAACGGAAAAGCTGAGGGTGTTTTCCGCCTTGTACATCATCTTGTGCTAAATTGGATTAATTTTGGTTTATAACCCATTCTTATCATAGGACGATATGTGGCCTCCTAAAATTTAATTATCTTTTATAATGACACAGTGGAAACCATGAACTAATGAACCGAACCAAGAACTTTATTACTCACATTGTATGATATTCTCCTTACCCAGAGGGAAAGGCACACCCTTCACGACTGGAGGATAATTTAATCAGCATGGTACAGGCACCCTGTGAACATAAAGAGGCACCAGCAAATGAAAATCTGAGATTCAGGCTCAATTTAGTGAACACAAGGCCCCATCTCAGAGATTAATCACTAACAATGATTTATGCCACATTTATATCTCTGACTCAGGAAAGGGCCTTCATTTTATTAATTAATGCAGGCGGTTATCCAATTTGATAATATCACGGACACGCTTAAATGAACCACCCACCCAACATCAAGAACTAGGAACATTACAGGCCTCGGGCACTGTCCCTCAACCCAAGGTAAAAGCACAGGGCTTCTTTGATTTTTTTTTCCACCCGATAGTGGGGATTGAACCCAGGGGCTGCATCCTACTCCATTTGATCTTTTCATTTAGATACAGGGTCTTACTAAATCGTCCAGGATGACTTGAACTTGTGATCCTCCTGCCTTAGCCTCCCGAGCCATCAGCTCACAGGCATGATGACCATCTTGAACCTTTTTTAAAAAAGGGCTTCCATGTAGTGATTTGGATGCATCTGAACCTCAACTGTGACATGATCTCATCACTGATCTTCACATGGTCCTGATTTTATCCCACACTTTTATGTCACACACCGAGAACCCTAAACAGACCACCACCCAAAAGTTAAAATCTTGAACTACTACTCACATTGAACCACAAAGGACGTCATCATTACAGAAAGGTTATTGACTGGAGTCGTGTGCATTCTGCAGAGTGAAAACAGATGGCAAAGAGAACAAAGAAAGATAGAGAAGGAAAAATTAAAAAGGGGGATGAATATGCATTATTCTATGATTTTAAAGAGTCTTCTATATGTCCAGGTAACTATGAGAAAAAAGGGAGGAAGGACACCTGATCCATTGATCCATGTTTTCCCCTCAATTTCCTTAGCTGTTTGTAATCAGGTATTAATTAATTAGTGAAATTATTTATTTCCATTTCTGTTAATAAGTTTGAACTCACGACTGTCCCAGAGTAAGAACATTAATTATTATTTCCCTTTGTCTACATGACCCTGACCCAAAGAGGGATCATCCCTGATTGATTCATTTATTCATAAACTTCAGTGTTCCAGGATGGTATTAAAAATGGTCGAATTCCACAGTTGTACTGATGGTGCCATCCCCATTCTAACCCTTGGGTGTGACACACTTTCATCCCTGGGACACATGGAGCCATTTAAACATTTGTTTCACAACCCAAGGAATACCTAGGAGCAAGCCGTCCACCCAAGGCAAGAACTCCGAACACTCCTTGTGAGGTCCCTCTGCTGACTGGGGATTTGGCAGCCAAGACCATCATCTGAGAGGGTCCGCTGTAGGGTAGAGGGCTCATGAGTTAGAGAGTGGACCCCCTAGACTGCAGCTATACTCTAATATTCTAATGGAGGCAAGGGCAGCAGGTTTGTGTTAGTCTTAAACTTGGGTCATATCCCTTTTATAATTGGCCAAAAAAGCACCCCCTTTCGGTCAGATTTACTCAGTTATTAATTTTGCATTAAAATGGATGCATGTGAATCCACCATCTGAATCCACAATGAGAGTGGCCTACGGCAGGCTTCATGCTCAACACCTCCACCCTCAGAACCCCTCGAATCTCTGGACTTCACACGTGCAGGATCGGATTAATTTAAATGCTAAGATTCGAAGCAATTTCAGGCCATGAATCATGCTGTATCCTACTTTATTTATGCATTTATTGATAAAAAAATAGTTGGGCCACCTATTTCATTCCTTTTAAAGAAGGACCAACAATGTTTAAACTCTCAGAAATCTGAAAATAAGCCATATCGTGCCCGTCTACATTCTCCTTACCATCTTATAAGAACCCAAATTCTTTCTGGAGAGAAGCATAATGTCAGGAACCAGTTAAACCATCACATCTATCCCATGGCACTTCCACCAAGGCCCCGCTGCGTTCTCCCTTCTAGCAAACTCATCATCACACCCTGGCAGGACCACAGGGATAATGGCTCTCCAGGTACACTGCCTATCACTCAAGAGCAAGGGACAGTGCGTCTGGGTAACAGAGGTGGTGAGCCCAACAACTCCTGACCAATGCTGACCACTGACTGTTAGCATGGAAGCAATGTTCAGCCTCTCATTCAGAAATGGCTTTCCTGTTTAGTAATGAAATAGCCAGGCGACCACAGATAACCAGAATGTAAACACTGAAAGATCAAACATTTCTGAGAGATTGAAAAACAACAACAAACGCAGGGGTCTCAGCTGCTGGGAGGCAGCGTGGCACAGCAGCCGGCTGCATCCCACGAGCTAGAGCTGGCCCAGGCACAGCTCTGCTCCGCCATCCCTACTTCTTGAGCTCTTCATGCCGCTGATTCACTCCTCACTTCATCACCAGCCATGAGCCACGAGAGCACAAGGGCTGGGTCGGCGAGGCGACTGTTGTGAACCCCTGGCTAGAGGATCATTTCCAACAGAACAATAGACCAGACTTATTTTCTGTTGAGCTCAAACTTCCTGAAACAGGATTCATCATCCTGACCCAAGTTGCCAGTCACTGGGCCAAGGCAGCCTTCGTCCCTCTGCCCACTTGCTCACGAGGCATGGACCCCCTTCCAGGCCCAGGCCATGCCAGGAACTGTGACTAGTGCTCACTCCTGAGACACCGCAGAGCTCCCAGCTGTGACACTGGGCCCCAGTGAGCCCCAGGACCACTCTGACCAGATCAAGGGAGGCAGAGGTGAGATCCAGACTCCCACCTGCCCACCAGGCCGGGGTCCCACCTCTGTGATGCAAGCCATCTCGTATTTACTTGAGTACTTTTCCTGGTAGGAAGCAAAGGTGAAACGTGCAGTGGACCCAGAGCAATGGCCTTGACACTGACTGATCTACAGTTTTGCCCGAAGTGACACCGTTGTCCGTTTCTTACCCGCTCCCTTACATGAATGGCGCTCCTTCCTGGGCCACACACGTGAACATTTGGAATAAACCTCCCTCTTTTCATCTCTGACTGCATCCCTGTGTTGTTTGTGTGTCTGATGTGACATTCACGCAGCTGCAATCCCAGCATGAGATCCTGATGGTCTCTAATGCCTCAGGACCTACAGGGTTTTCCCAGCCCAGGGTAGACCTGATTTCTACTGTGCTGATCTCAGCGCCAGATAGCAATAACCCGGGGTGGCCCACGCCGCCCATGCCACCAGCGCAGGGGCATTTCGGACTCTGTGACCACTTTCTTCATCTGTATGTTTACTGACTGATTCATGAGCTCACTAAAAATAATTACCTAAGTGTCACAAGAGTTTCAGATCCTTGACCCTCTCTAACATCTTCTTATGTAATGACCACGCGTAGCGACCAACACTTCTTCCGGTAATAAGCCTTCGCGTTTCTCTCTGCATTCATCAGCATGGTGTTTTTCATGTCTCCAATTTTTATCCCGGGGTCAAAGTTTCCTTTCCATGATCATACTTTTATATATATATATATATATATATATACTTTTTAAAAACACTGACGCCAAGAGAAGAACCGTGACTGTGAACTGCTCCCTCAGGTCTCCATAGTTACCGCACAGATGGTTCTCCGGAGCGCAAAGCACAGTGCAGATGACGTCTCCGTCTTTTAAAAAGGCAGAGGGAAAAAAGACTGAGACGTCATCTGCGCTGGCCTTTGCATTCTTCCACTTAGCCAGTCCATCGGGCACTCAGGGATGCCGTTTAATGTGTCTTCCCTCGCATGGACAATTGTCAGCTGGGCCACCGGCCTGGAACGTGGGCCCTGACCCTCCACTAAAGACACTAGAGCCTTCCAGTGTCCAGGCCCTAATGGGAGTCAGTGCTTCCAATACAAAAGAAGGTTCTCCTGCCTCACAAAACGCTTTCCTAGTTGGACAGTGCTGACCCCGACTCAACAGCATTCATTGGGTCACTGGATTTTTCATTGACTCCGTTGTAACATTAGAACAAAAATGCGTGTCCACAAGAGTGAGCCGAGCTCTTTGTGGGACCCTGGCGCCTGTCTGCGGCGTCACTTCTCAAGGAGGAAGCAGCTCGGTGGCTTTGCGATGAGCCTTGGTGTTCTGCAGGGACGCCCAGGCCTGGCCGAGCTGCACCACAGTCGCGACTCACCTGGGATTGGCGTCTCTCCGTTGGTTGCCACTGCATAAAAAACTCGTGTGATTCACAAAAATTCAAGAAAAGCACTGATACCACCAACCCACACGTGTGGACTCCTTGTCAAACACGAATGCAACCCTCTGCCCGTGGCACCTGTGCCTCAGCACGATGTTCACACCCATTCCACGTTAACCACGGAGGCGGCGCACTCTCGTTCATATTGTCCTTACACCTAGGAACACACAACCTAAGCAGGGACAAGCACGTGGCTCCTGCACACGGTAGTCTGCAAGGTCCTCGCACAGACACAACCAAGAGGCGCGTGAACAAGGAGAACTCACGCCGGCCAAGGGTGCCCATCCTGGGGAATGCCCCAGAAGACATGGCAGCAAAGCTCAGGCCCTCCGCCCGTGGATCCCTGCTGCTCGGCTTTCACAAGTTACTCATTTAATGAGCAATAAAGTGGAGTGTACGAAGTTGATTTCCTATTAGGAAAAAAAGAAGAATGTTAACCTTCTGATCCACCCAGAAACTGAACATTGTCAACGTTTTACACTGTCCACTCCACCAAGCAGGTGACAGGTATGTCAGGCTACACGGACTTCGGTATGAATCAAGAGTATTTCTTGTCTCACCACATATTTTGATAAATTGAACAATGCCTAAATGTATTCATCTTTACTGATTCTCCATGATAAAAGTAAAAGACCCAATGAAAAAAGTAAAACTAATGGCATAAACACAATACTCCCAAAGAAACACATTCTATATTCTGACACCTGCCTATAGGGTCATTTGAAAGACAGAATAGACTTGTTACCTTTTGAGATGGACCTCAAAGTTACAGATACATGAACCACTAGTTGTAATCATCAATCCACAACTGGCCCTCAATTCATTTCTACACTGTCTGTCGACAGTCTTTAACTCACTACTCACTTTGAGCTTATAAATAATAAAATATGAAGAACTTATTATTCCTAGAGTATATAGAATCACTCAGATATTAAAATTTTCATTTATATTTAATATTATCTTCAGCATTAATATGCATTAGCAATAGAAAACTTCATACCAATGGAACTTTACCATTTTTCTCTTTTTATTCTTACGTTAATTCTTGATTCTTTCTAACCTTGTTGCAATTTTAAATATAAAATAAAAATATGCAACCCCAAGAAAAGAATGAACCAGATTTCTTCTGTAGTGGACCTCAGAGTCTCAAAAACACCTATTCATTAATTGCAATTCATGTTAACAATAGTCATCATTAATTCTGGACTTGTACTTCTTTCCCCATCATTTCTATAGTGTCTGTTGATTGATTTACTATTCACTGACAATAATTTGAAGTCTGTTCATTAAAAAATACAAAAAGCCATGATTCTATATATGGAATCATTGTAACAATGATGTGTCTGTTTCACTGATTGCCCTAAGTTCTTAATAAACCATTGAATGCTTCCTATCTCTACCACAACCTTGACTGAAGTAGAGTGGTGTTATGATGTGGATTTGGGATGTCTACCCAAAACTCCTGGATTAATTAAGAAATGGTCACAGGTAAAAATGATCAGATTACAAAAGCTGAAACCTAATCAACTCGTTCAAGTCTGAGTGGTACGACAAGGGAATGATTTCAGGAGAGGGGAGGTGGAGTCATGGTTGGATGAGAGGAATCAAGGGGGGGACAACTTGGAAGGGCTGTGCTTCCTGTCCATCCCCTCTCACTCCCACGCTGCTTCCTGACCCCTCCACTCGCTCAGCAGCTTCCCTCCTCCACTGGCTGCTCCCACCATAATGTCACACATTGGCCCAGGGCAATGGATTTGGCCATCTAAGAACTGAGACCTCTGAAACTATGAGCTCCAAATGAGCTTTTAAACCTCTAAGTTGTTCGTGTAGAACGTGTCAGTTGCAGCAGCAAAAAAAAAAAAAAAAAAAAAAAAAAATAAAAAAAGTTGACTAAAACAAGTGACCCACTTGGATGAAATTAGACACATTTAGCAACCCATGTGTCCTGCTAAGCAAACCACTCACATGAGGACTGGAGTGAAGGTCAGGACTCATGTTGTCCACAAGCTCCAAACTGGAGGCCAACAGCAGTGATGCAGGAGGAGCCGCACAACCAGCAAAGCCAGCCCTTCTAACAATAGAGAGCAAAGGATGATAATGAAAGGCACACACTCACCATGGAGGCCAGATTACCACCCTCATCTACTCTGTCATTTAGGACATTTATTTCACTGATTCTTAATAAGTGAATAACTCCAAACTGAATAATGAGCCAGCACTACCATCTTGTCAATGTTCTCAGGATCATCTGAAGCCAAAGAGAGCATGTGGGAGTGATTGCTCTTTGACCTTTGAGTACTTCATAACTCTCCAGATGTTTTCATAACGGAAGAACATGTAATCTTATTCATTTAAATGTATCTATATTTGATGATTCTCTTCTTGATTCAATTACACGAACAGAATGAACATACAGTAACCCTAGAAGCAAACAAATTAACTGTACTGAACGGATATATAAAAAGATAATTAATAACAGCAGAATTTGAATCAGTAGGAGAACTCAGATCCAGAGGTAAACTCCATTCTAAGAAGAAGAGGGAAGAGAAGATACTAACAAATGGACATGAGTCCACTTTCCCAAGGAACACTGAGACATTGATGCAATCCCACTTGGTGGGAGATACTGAAGGATCTCAGGTGCCACGGGTATTCACAGTCCTCACTCATACAGATCCACATGTCATCATCGATCCAGCAGCTTTCCCCCACCTTTCCCACAATGGCTACTCTCAAATACATTAATTTATACTTGACTGGCACAGTCCCCATGCTAGCCAAACCGTCCCACACAGGATCATTCACCAGGACTCACACTCAGGGGCAGCTCCCCTCAGGAGGGTCCAAGGAGCACCAGACCATAGAGCCATCCTCCGTCCACAGGCCAATTCCAATCTGAGGAACAGAGGGCAAAGAAGATGACAACTAACGCAGATATGCCCCAACTTGACATCCCTCACCCTGAGACTGTTCTGCAATCCTCGTGCATTGCACTCAGGGAAGGAACTCAGATCCAGAGGCAAGTCACTGTCCTCACTCATACACCTCCACAGTCATCATGGACTCACTATGGGTCCTCATTTTTCACCCAAAGGGCTCCTCTCTCATTCATTCACTGAGTAAATCAAAACAAGAATGAGGAGAAGCCCGCAAAATGCCACCTGCACCAAGAGGGGACCACTGACCACGACTCACACTTCTTTGCAGCCCCCACACGCAATGGGCTCATTACACTTGAGCATGGAGTCATCTGGGTGTCCATCAGCCTCGTCCAATCTGAGAATATGAGAGGGGAGAAGAGGGCAAAAATGAAGGTGGGCCCCACTATTGTCCTCTCACAAAGACACTTTTATGCGATCAACACCGATTAGAGTGAGGGAAGGACCTCAGATCCAGAGGTTAGTCACCGTCCTCACTCAGACACCTCCAGCAGTCATCATGAACTCCAACAAGTTCTCACTTTGTCCAACCAGTGCTATGTTCTAAATCATTACGCAATGTGTTGACGGACTGACTACAAGCTCCACAAACCCCACCTGTCCCAAGCAGGAGCACAGAGAAGGACTCACACAGGGCTGCTGCTCCGCCAGAGCGCGATCCTTAGGGCAACTGTCCATAGAACCATCCTCCTGTCCAGAAGATGCATCCATTCTGAGAAACACAGGGCACAGGAGAACACCACAAATGGACACTTGTCCTACTTTGCCTCTGGCACACTGAGACTCTTGGTCAATCACCCTTGGTGGGAGATACCGAAGGATCTCAGATGCCGCAGGTATTCACAGTCCTCTCTCATACCGATCCACATGTCATCATCGATCCAACAGCTTTCCTCCACCTTGCCCACAATGGCAACTCTCAGATTCATTAATTTATACTTGATTGATGGTGTCCCCATTCTACACAAACCATCCCACTCACGATCATTCACCAGGACTCACACTGATGGGCCGCTCCTCTCAGGAAGGTCCTAAGGGCACGAGACCAAGGAGCCAACCTCCTGTCCACAGGCCAAGATGAATCTGAGAAACAGAGGGCAGAAAAGGTAACAAATAATAATATATGTGACCCTGCCCTTGGCATCTCCCACACTGAGACTGTTCTGCAATCCTCGTGCATTGCACTCAGGGAAGGAACTCAGATCCAGAGGCAAGTCACTGTCCTCACTCGTACACCTCCACAGTCATCATCGACTCACTATGGGTCCTCATTTTTCACCCAAGGGGCTACTCTCTCATTCATTGACTGAGTAAATCACAACTGAAATGAGGAGAAGCTCTCAGAATGCCACCCCTGCCAACAGGGGACCACTGACCACGACTCACACTTCTCTGCAGCGCCCGCCCGCTATGGGCTCATCGAAGCATGGAGCCATCTTGGTGTCCATCAGCTTCGTCCAATCTGAGAACATGAAGGCAGAAGAGAGGCCAAAATCAAGGTAGGCCCCCCTTTTCTCCTCTCACAAAGACACTTTTGAGCCATCACCACCAACTGCAGTGAGGGAAGGACCTCAGATCCAGAGGTTAGTCACCGTCCTCACTCAGACACCTCCAGCAGTCATCATGGAGCCCAACAAGTTCTCACTTTGTCTAGACAATGCTACTTTCTGATTCATTAAGCAATGCGTTGACAGAGGGAATACAAGTTCTACAGATCCCACCCTGTCCCAATAAGGAACATGTAGAAAGACTCACATGGGGCTGATGATCCGCCTCAGCATGATCCTTAGGGCACCAGTCCATGGAGCCATCCTCCTGTCCACAGGACGCATCCATTCTGAGAAACACAGGGCACAGGTGAGCACCACAAATGGACATGTGCCCTACTGTGACTCTGGCCCTGTAAGACTCTTGGTCAATGACCCTTGGTGGGAGATACTGAAGGATCTCAGGTGCCACGGGTATTCACAGTCCTCACTCATACAGATCCACATGTCATCATCAATCCAACAGCTTTCCTCCACCTTTCCCACAATGGCTACTCTCAGATCCATTAATTTATACTTGATTGATGGTGTCCCAATTCTACCCAAACCATCCCACTCACGATCATTCAACCGGACTCACACTGATGGGCCGCTCCTCTCTGTGTGTCTGAAGGGCAGCAAACCACAAAGCCATCCTCCTGTCCCCAGGCTATGTCCAATCTGAGGAGCAGAAGGCAGAGAAGGTAGCAAATAATGGTATACGCCCCCCACCTTGGCATCTCTCACCCTGAGACTGTTCTGCAATCCTCGTGCATTGCACTCAGGGAAGGAACTCAGATCCAGAGGCAAGTCACGGTCCTCACTCATACACCTCCACAGTCATCATCGACTCACTATGGGTCCTCATTTTTCACCCAAAGGGCTCCTCTCTCATTCATTCACTGAGTAAATCACAACAAGAATGAGGAGAAGCCCGCAAAATGCCACCCGCACCAAGAGGGGACCACTGCACACGACTCACACTTCTCTGCAGCCCCCGCCCACAACGGGCTCATCTAAGCATGGAGCCATCTTGGTGTCCATTGGCTTACTCCAATCTGACAACAAGAAGGAAGAAAAGAGTCCAAAATAACGATGGGCCCCACTTTTCTCCTCTCACAAAGACACGTTGGTGCCATCACCACTGATTGCAGTGAGGGAAGGACCTCAGATCCAGAGATTAGTCACCGTCCTCACTCAGACACCTCCAGCAGTCATCATCGAGCCCAACATGTTCTCACTTTGTCTAGACACTGCTACTTTCTGATTCATTAAGCAATATGTTGACAGAGGGAATACAAGTTCTACAGATCCCAGCCTGTCCCAATAAGGAACACGTAGAAAGACTCACACAGGGCTGCTGCTCCGCCTAAGCACAGTCCTATGGGCACCAGAATATGGAGCCATCCTCCTGTCCACAGGACGCATCCATTCTGAGAAACACAGGGAAAAGCAGAACACCCAAATAAACACTTGCCCAACTTTGCCTCTGGCACACTGAGACTCTTGGTCAATCCCCCTTGGTGGGAGATACTGAAGGATCTCAGATGCCGCAGGTATTCACAGTCCTCTCTCATACCGATCCACATGTCATCATCAATCCAACACCTTTCCTCCACCTTTCCCACAATGGGTACTGTCAGATTCATTAATTTATACTTGACTAGTACAGTCCCCATGCTAGCCAAACCGTCCCACACAGGATCATTCACCAGGACTCACACTCATGGGCAGCTCCTCTCAGGAGGGTCCTAAGGGCCTGAGAACATGGAGCCAGCCTCCTTTCCACAGGCCAGGTCCAATCTGAGGAGCAGAGGGCAGAGAAGAAGGTAACTA